GACAGCTCTTGCTCGATACCTTTCTAGTGTGCCGTCAGCATTTCTTTTAACTCTGTGGACCCACTTACTTTCGATTATTTTCCGTCCAATTGGTTTATCGAGAACATCAAAGGTTCCACTCTCCTCGAGCGCCAGAATTTCATAGCCCATTGCTGAGGTCCACTGGTCATGGTAGGGGCTGTTTATAGCTTGGTGATAAGTAGCAGGATCCTCGTCGGGCATTTCGGTAGCATTTCTGCTATATCAAAGTGGTGGTCGTGAAACTCGTCCAGACCGAGTCCTTGTTCCTTCTGCAGGTTCCGGAGGTTGTTCTGGTTCATCTGCAGGTGGTTCCGGAGTTGGAGAAGGAGGTGCATGATTCTCGTAGTCTTCTGGATGTTCTGGTGGTGGAGGTGGATGTACTTCAATGTCTGGTAGTGGTAAAGGTTGGTCGTCATCTTCCTTTTCTTGAGGCTTGTCACAAGGGTGCGAGGCGGTCTAGAAAGAGGGAAGCGTGACGGTCGCAAAGGTCTCCAATGTATGGGTCAGTTGTTTTGGATCCGACGGTCCAGGTGGGTCAAGCCGTATTGTTGTCTTGATTGTCCAATAGATTTGTCTGGTTCCAGAGATCCAATGTTGTGATGGTATATAGATCTGGTATATTTTGTCGGAGGAGGTATAACCGACAAGATATCCTTCCAAGGCCCGGGGCTGTAGCTTCATTCTAGGTTTTCTTTCCTCCTCTGGTATATGGATGTAGCATTTGGTCCTGTGTGGGCGTAAGTGGTTGATCAATGGCTTTGTTTTGTAGATAGCTTCATAGGGCATTGAGTTTCCTATGGCTCGGTTAGGGAGTCGGTTCCTAAGGTAGACGGTGGTGGAGACTGCTTCAGCCCAACGGCTAAGGGTAAGTCCAGTCAACATAGAGCGTGTCGATGTGATAATGGTACGGTTGTACCGTTCGGCAACACCATTAAATTCATGTGAGTAAGAAGGGGTCTTATCATGCACAATTCCATGCTTCTGAAACAGTGTAAGCATTTTGTCATTGATATACTCGCCTCCGTTGTCAGTACGAAATCTTTTAATAATTGTTGAATCCTGGGTTGTCTTTTCTTTCATGAACTGTTCCAACACTTTTACCATGTTGGACTTTACTTTTATGGTATAGATCCATGCATAGTGTGTATTGTCATCGATGAAGGTAACATAGTACCAGGAGTTGCCAAAGAAAGGTTTCGAGAATCGTCCGCTAAGGTCGGAGTGAATTAATTCGAAAGGGGTGTCACACCCTTCCTCTATTGATTTCAGTTTTGACTTAGCTGACTTGGAGGTGATGCAGGTTTCGCATTGCCAGTCTTTTGGAACAGTAGGGATAGCGGGAGAGTTGCAGTAGTGGTCGGCTTTGAGGTATTGCGGCGATGGATGTCCAAGGACTTCGTGCCACTCTTTGTAAGTCATCTTGTTCGCTGTTTCCTTCTCCTCTTGCACAACATAGTCCTGTCTGTCAAGCTTTCCCAATACAACCTCTGTTTTATTTTCCCTCAAAGGATACATATCTTTCCCAGAACTCCGCAAAGAAAAACCATTTCCCAAAGAAATGATAGCATGCCACGACAATATGTTGCTAGAACCCAACTTAGGAACCCAAAGGACCTGTTGTAGAAAGACAGAGTCTGTCCGGCCATTAGATGTTTTGGCCTTAAGCTCCACTGTTCTACCGCCGCATGATTCTATTACCGAATCATCGCCTAACTTAACGGTGCCTTCTGAAGGTTCAAAGTTTATAAGAAGGTCTAGGTTCAAAGTCATGTGTGAGCTTGCACCTGTATTGATAACCCATTGATCAGAGTAAGGGGTCTTTTGCGTAGGAGGTGAGGAGGTAGAGGTACTGACCGGTTTGGATGTCTCTTCCTTTCCGATCTTAGCCGAGTGTCCGGCTCTATCTTTTTTTCGCTTTTTGTTGTTGGCCTTGAGCTTATTACACTCATTCCAGGAGTGACCTTCACTGCGAGCAGAGGGGTAGTGCTTTTTGCAGTAGGAGCATTCCTTCGTTTCGGCCAGTTGCCGGCAGACCGTAGCGCGACCCTTTCCCTTTCCTTTGACATCAGCGCTTTTATATGCCTTATCATCCTCAGAATTAACTGAGGATTTCAAGTCCAACCGTTTGTTGTAGACATGATTGTAGGTAACGTCCTCCTTGGTTTGGAGGTTGTCGACAATGTTGCTCATGGGCGGAGGCAGGGAATGGAGGAGAATGGCAGCTGTGGCTTCGGTTGACTCAAATACCGATTTAAAAACAAACGGTAGAGTGTATCGGTTGGTTTCCAAAGCAGAGGAGCAAAGAACAGAGGATTAGGAGGGAACGGGTGCCAGATTCTGCTTTTAAGCGAGGGGGAATGCCAAGAACGTTTCGCCAAGAATACTTCATGCCAAGGGATTAAAGTTTCGTTTCGAAATAAGTTTCAGTTTGATCAATGTTTCCCACTCAAATGAAATTGTTTGGTTTCGAGGTAGAAATGTTTTGCGTCAGGTGAAATATTTCGATCGTCGTAGGTAGGAAGCGTGTAGGTGTAAGTCATATAGTTATAGAGGCACTGGGCTCATAACCTGTTCAAATGTGTGGGTACGGCACTATCTTAATAACTTTATACAAAAGTACGACACAGTAGTAAGAGTCTACTGTGCGCACGCTAAGCGAGGAGGAATTTTGTATGAAGGTAGATTGGTAGTAGTTCTTGTCCTTGATTCTCCTTAAGCGAGATGGCTGGTAACCCCTATTTATACAGGTGTGCATCCTTCGCGTAACTAAGAGGAAATGTAAGGGAAAACATAAGTGTCGACGTGTTTGACCGTAACATAAGTAGGAAAAACATAAGTGCGAATGTGTTTGACCCTAAAGAACTGCCAAGAAGATTCCATAAAACATGCGTAAATCTAAGGTGGTGTGAACGGATAATTAGAACATAATTGTAAATCAAATGACTGATGACCGTGCATGATGATGTATAAAATGTAACAAATAAACCCGAACACCAGATAAGAAAAGCAGGCCATAATCCCCTAATCGTATCAAGAAATATCAATGAAATATACCTAACACATACTCTGCTGTAGTAATGTCTATGAACTAGAAATAATACTAAGTAGAGGAATATACGATATTATCAAGGAAAATATACATATGAAATGAATTAGAAAATTCAACACCAATCTACCTTCATACAAAACTCCCCACCTAGCATGTCTGCAGTATACTATTTCTACCACATTGTATTTTCCTACCATGTTATTAAGATAGTACTATACTATACATATTTGAACAAAGGACTTAGTCAGAACTGAAGAGCTGATCAACACAGATTGGTCCTTACCTTAATCTGTTTTACTTGATGGCCAACCATTTCCTACGAGATCTTCAAGGATCTAGGATATCTTAGCTTATATCACTTCCCTTATTAGAGTGAGGTTCTTACCTTCTCTAACATCTGTATCAACCTTCACAATAGTAGGGGAAGGTTTATGGGCTTCCAAGAGTCTTGGAGCCAAGAGCAGAGAATCAGACACTTCAATACACTTAAATCACTTATTGCCACTCATAGAGGATTCTGCCTTGAGTTATCACTGTTTCACTCTCGCAGTATTCCTCACAGTATGAACAACAGGGGAGGTACTGAACAATACTTCCAGAAGTAGCCTTCTCTACCATACTTAGTACATTACTTGTTATTGCATCATTTATCAGTCACGGTCTGAGGGATATCTCTATGAGTAATAGCATACTTCAGACATCCATACCTGCTGTCCGGTGCCACCATTGGCCATCTTCCATGTTTTGTTCTCTCTCTAACCCAAACCTTTCTCTCTCTTCTTAAACTTTCCAGCTGGTTTAGAGGATTTCTTCTCGCCTTTCTCTCATGGTCTTGTGGGCTTCTCATGTATCAAATGCCCTTAGCACTTACTGTCCTCCAGCAAATAACCTACTTGCTTATATAAAATAATTCAATATTATATTTAGATTCACTTTTAGGAAAACAGGGAACCTTGTACATGATACAATTTTTACTATTTTCTCAAAACTACACCAACTTAAAATAACTATTTAAATTCTATTAATCCTACTTTCAGATTTTGACCTTTTTGATGATTCTATTTGGATTGGCTTTTTTTTTTCTTTTTTTTTTTAATAATTTTAATTACTGGCTACTTTCTATTACCCACTCTGCTTTTATTGCCTTTTTTTTATGTTCAATTCGCCTGAGAATTGGACTTGTTGCTACTCTTGTAGTGTATCATAGCTTACTCGTAAGTTGTGTCACTTCCCAGTACTCACTCACCTCAGGGTGAAATACGTTTCATTGCATTTTAGGAGTGGGTTGAGTAGTATGGAATTGTCGAGCATTGGCACTACTTTCAATACTTTGCACTAGTAATACTCCAGGCCGCGTCAGATATTTATGGGGATCTTAAGGTACTTGCAAGTATCTCCCGATTTCTTCTCCGCATTGACAATATTTACTAACTACACGGCACATACCGGAAGCCGGGTCTCTGAAACCCAGGTCAGTCTCATGTTGACCTAGCTGTCCTGCACTAGATATCTACATGGTATCTGCGGGCCGGCATACTCGCTTGCGAACTCTGTTCATGTCTACCCATAACGGGTTCCGAATCGACGAACGAGTCAATCTAACAGACCCGTGCATCTTGCCTCAACGGGTGCATCGCACCGGGTACCCAAGGTAAAAAGAGAACAGTTCGCGATGTGGGGTCACCAGGTGAGCAGTGCTTGGAGAGTGGGAGAGCCCAGCCTTCAGGGAACCTCCTAAGGGATTGGAGGTTCGCAGTGGTAGTGAAGCTGAAGCGTATAACTTGATAATCGATTGATGATAATTGTTAACGTGCGACTGATTTACTAATTTTGTGCGGATATATATGAGGGATAGGAAACCGCGTAGCGCCCACACTACTCCTAGTGCTCTGAACCTGTCCGAGTTTTTTGGTCTCTCCTGAAATGTCCCAAGCCCAAGCTAATGGAAGACATCTTGAACTATTGCACAGTGTTGGCCGGCTTTTGCATATATTGGTGGCATTTGAAGCTATTTGCGGTCGACTTCGGACACCCGCTCCCGATGGACAAAATATTTGCTCACCACTGGAGCCTTTCCGAAAGCCTACCTATAGGCATCTATGAAGTCTGCAGGCTTTGGGAAATCCGGGCTACAAAGCTCAGGTCAGTCTTCACTTTGGCCTGCCCTGGGAGACTGTATACCTGCAGGCTATGTGCGGGCTGGTCCGACGGCTTGTCCACATTAACGGGCATTTACCCCAGTGATCCAGGACGAAGACTTGAGTATTCTATTCAAGGCTCATAATAGTTCCATCATATCGCTCCTAAGTCACATCAAGCTCCTTCAGATGTAAATCCCCCGAAAAAAATATTGCACAGAGTGATAGACTAATATTGGAAAGCACCCTCGGATGTATTCAGGCCGGGGCACACAACCTACGAGCAATCATCCTCATCAGCAAACATATCCTCAGCCCGCATCCGCTTTCTTGGGCCCATTCCTCCCTTAACGGTACTAAGTGTTGATCCTATTTTGAAGCCATGTACGACCAGTCCTGCTGCCGGCATTCCACACAAGTTGGCTATTTCTTCCTGGTTGCTACCGTGCATTAACCCGTCATGGTTATCTAATGTCTCAGGCTCATTTTCGGTGTCTTCGTCTCTCATCGGTTCACCATCTACGTCTTCAACCATTGGCTCGCCATCTACATCATCCTCCATCATGGGTTCGCCGTCCACATCCTCCTCTCCTGTTGCATTAACTGCAGATTCCACATTGAAGGCCTCAGCTTTAGCCTCCACCGCTTTCCACTTGCTCTTAGCGGCTGAAAGGAGTGCAGGGACGGCGGTGTTGGCATTTTCTTTCGGAGGTTGAGAGCCGGGAACAGACGCTATTTTCTCTGTATCCGCCGTTCCTATAAACGCTCTCAAAAATTCCTCCTGGGTATATTGTGGGAATATGCACCATTTCTACCCCAGATGTCAGCTTTTTATAGATGGTTCTAATAAGGGACCAAGGAGTGTACCTCCCACCATTCCAAGACCCCCTCAACCACCCCTCTTCGAAACTTCTCTGCTTTCATTCGACCCCATCCACTCCCTTTCCAGACTCTTCCCAAGTGATTGAAAACACCCTTCTCACGCAATGCAACATCGAATAATTGCCGGTATCTCCATGCGTTCCGAATACCTAGGGATGAATTCGAGAGGATATCAGATATTAGCCAGAGGCCAATCACCCTCGCTGCAGAGGTATCAGGGCTCTCGTCATTATTTTCAGATACCCTTTGGTCATCATCGGTGGTGTTCTCCCTTAAGGCCGCTTTGGTGAAGGCAAACGGTTTCAGGACCTACTCGGCAACCCATGTGAGTATGAACTGAGAAGGTAGAGAGGTGATTCATCTCGAACGCTTACATTTCCCACAAGGACTGCAACGACCTCCTCGCCCATTCCCCCTTCAGCGTGTTCCATTGCGAATGCCATGACTCGGCCCACGTCTCCTCTCCTAACCTTGCTAGTTTGTGTGGGTATCCTAGCTGCGAACCCAGTCAGTTATTTACTCGAATCATTAGTTCGTGGACGACTCTCACAAATAAGATGAATTAATTTTGCACGCTCAAGCACGCCCAAAAAACCCCGACCCCGTCGGCTCTCCCCACTACCCTGAAGACCGACTGGTCGCTCGATCTCATCTTCCCTATCACTTTCATCTCGGTCGTCCTCAAGCTCTTCACTGCTAAAGCTTTCATCATCTTTCACATCCTGCAGCGCCCCCGCCCACTCGTATTTGAGCGTTCTCCGAGGTGGGAACCAAGTGGTTGCCAGGGAAGAAGAGGGTTCAAACAAATCGACGCCACCAGTTCGTTCCCAAGTTGTGCCAGATATTATTTCCCATAATTTCCACCTGTAGTAAACTCCTTCCGTAGATCGAGCGTCCCACAGCCAGGAAAATTTGATGTCACTCTTCACTGTGTTAGACGACATCAACAGAGCTTCGAACTCCGGACCATGGGTTAGGACTGATTCGATGGTTTTGTGTATGAGCCTGAGCACTTTGAGATCGGCTGGTGTCTCAACCTGAATTTGCAAACTAACCAACCCTCCAGTGCCTGCCCCAACGCTGGCCCCGCGATGAGGGGGCCCAAAGGAAGCAGGTGCAGCAAACCCACCCCTATGCACAGGAGGTGCACGTGAGAGGGTGCGAGATACTAGGGCTGGCGGCCGTGCACCGAAAGGGTGAGTTTGAAAAGAAGCTAGGATGGGACCAGAACCAACAGAGCCAACGGTAGTGGATGGTAGATGTCGACCAATTCCAAGCCAGAATCCACACCCAAGATAGCGGCCACTTAGCATTGATACCGCAGCATCGATATCAGAGGAAGGAGTCTCCGGGGATAATACGACAATCGCGGACGCTGCCTTTCGGACAGATGGGGATGGCTGGGAAGGGCCTGGGGGGGGAGGGGCTGGAAGGATACGGATGGAATCTAGTTTTAACGCCGTAGTAGAGAGTAGTGCTGTCAATGTGGGTTTCGTGGTTGAAGGTGGGAGGGACGTAAGATGAAGAGTAGGTTTTGGGTGTGAGCTGGAAGCTGTGTCAGAATCTAGTAAAATGGAAAGTACCGTTAGAACATAATTCTCCTAAACTTCCGATCCTCACGCAATGGCCAGGGGTACCAGAGTCATCGTCAGGAGAGCACTGATCTTTGCTCCTGCTCGGCGGAGCTGAATTCTCAAACGCCAAGAGTCCAGTGTTTGATTCTCGAAGGCGTCTTTTATCACGATCACTCAAGCCGGCTGGTCCAAACACACCAGCCTCATCCTCCCTTTCAAATACCGAGTCGATATTCCGTTTTCTGCTCGGCGGACCGCTTGCTAGCGATGCTGCCGGGCTAGCTCTGGGTGGAGCCGAGGTGAAATGTCTTCGCCCAGGCCCACTTAGTGGTACGCCCCTCAATCCTGCTCTGGAGTCACCTATGGAGCCCCTGGAGCCAACAGGCGAACCTCTGGCTCCACCGAAATTGCCCACAGCAGAAGTTGAAAGAGACGGTTCCTGGTCGAAGGAGGCGACAAAATCCTTGTAAACAGCGGCAGTCTCGGCCTCCTCACGAAGCCTCTTCGCCTCTGCTTCTAGACGCGATTTCTCGAAGGCAGATTTTTTCGTTCGTCCGGTAAGCTTTTCCTTGACATTGGGGAAAGGGTCACGAGAATCTGCCATGATGGGAGTTCAACGACGTGGGCGGGTTGGAGACCAGTAAGTTAGTTTTGCGAAGGGGTTTCACCAGTAGACTACCATAAATTTTGCTGAACGCGTTAGGGTGGTTCTAATGATCGAGGAAACTGGGACTAACCCTAACCTTGTGTCCGGGGGTTATGGGTCGAATTACCAATCGCCCGGAACATGTGTTACCATATTAGGGTGCGTTCTGCCGCCACAAGGGGGGAGGACAAAATACAAGGGAGTCATTTTGCAAGAATAAACCGAGGGGTGGTGTTCTTCTGGTACAAACTACAAGGTTCAAACTTACCGAATGGGGCTCCAAATCACCAGGTTGGACCTTTTGAAATCTCGTATGTTGCAAGCCTTTGAGTAACATCACCAGTCTACTTATCAGCATACTCTTTACAAGGCTGGCGACAAAAATAACCTGTATAAATCTCAAATTGCAACCACAACAACATCACTCCTCCACAGGTGAAAATGACCACTACCCCACCACAAAATGATCCTTGGGGTGAATGGCATACCCTTATACAAACCAGAGTTCTTACTTTACTGGATACTGGATTATCTTAATCAGAAAATTTTTGAGAGACTGGAGTTCTACAACAAACTATAAAGGATTGGAAGAAGTCAAAGCAGCCTTACTGCCAATACTACCATCCAGTATACCCCTACTACCTTTTAGAGAATGATATCTGATGTCTAATCATTTACCTCCAAATGGGATGGGAGGGGAGATGACTCTGCTGAAGCAAGTTAGGACAGGAGGTAGGGTTAAGTGTCTTTGTAACAACCATCAAGTAAGCTGTTAGAGGGTAGGTAACTCTAAAGTCAAGTAAGTATATACTAGGCCCAGTATTCTTCTACCTCAGCGATAGTCAAGAGAGCATAAAGATAGAAGTAAGGTCCCCGACCGGGAAGCTGGCCACGACGGGGAAGTTGGCCACCTCAATCACATATGTATTCTAAGACAAAATTTGGAATAGATAAATAACAAATACAGACTATGGCCAGAAAATAAAGAAATAGTAAAACAAATTTCTGAGATACCTTAACAAAAGAAACACAAGAAAAAAAAGGAACAAGAATTAGTGAAGATGTCCAATTTGATATGTTGAAGTGAGGTCTAATTGAGGTTAGTAAACAGTCATCAATCCAGGTGGAAATTAAGTTTCGAAATACAAGCAATGATTAAAGTTCTACTATGATACCTTACCTAGATCATGGTCTTTGAGTTTATTTCGATAAGAGGTACTCGAGAAGGTGTACCAAGTCTATTAAGCATAGTGGAATTGGGAATCTCAGGTTGTACAAAGGTATTCTCATCATTCCGCTCCACCTGCTCACCTCCAGTACTCTGAAGTACTTCTCTCACCCTTGCTAGTCCCCTTCCAGTTCCTCGTTCTTTGTCTTTTTTTTTTTTTTCTTTCCAGCTTCTTCCTTCTTTCTTCATCCTTCTTTGCAAGCCGCTTCTTCCTTGCCTTATCTAGGAATGAGTGGGAAACAAGGATGGCTTTGCTGATGTGCCGGCGGTCAGATTTGCTCTTCTTTAGAGCAGAAGCAACTTGATGAACCGTCTCTTCTGCTAGGGCTGCTACGGCTAATGCAGTACCAGCAGTTGCGGTACAGCCAAGAACAGCTTCATGTACTATTTGAATATCATCCAAGGTATTCAGTATATATTTCAACTGTCTAACCTGTCTTGCTGTAGAGGGCAGAGAGTGGTGAGGAGCCTGGGTAGGATTGTATATAGTAGAGGGAGTGATAGTGAGAGTAGTAGTAGTATTAGCAGGAGGAGAATGGGGAGAAGGAGGAGTATGACTATTTGTGGTAAAGCAAATATCAAGTACTCGTCTACAGCAGTAAGGATGTATGCCAGTAGCAGTGAAAGCAGACTTGATGTTTGCTTTAGTCAAGGGTTTTTCCCGAGCTCACTGACAAAGTGGAAAAAAATCGCCTTTTGTTACTACCTGGTAAGGATGTGCTCTTGCCCAATCATCAACCTCATTACTGCAGTATTGCTCTAAGGGTCCAAATATCCCCACATCAAGGGGCAGGAGGAGGTGAATCGAATGACTAGGAAAGTAGAGTAGGTAGATATTCAAGTCAAAGCAGAATTCAATAAATTCGACCACGAGATGAGAGAAGTGGCCATCAACTATTAGAGACGATGGTGACCAGATTGAGTTTCTAGCTCGAAAAGCTGCTTTAGCTAAAGCAATTCTAGTTTATCGTTCGTCCATCCTCTCTTTGAAATACTAAAGGTTGCTAAATCCCTTCCGTGATAGTCATGATTTCCCATCAAATGTGCCTCTCCCCTATATATATACAAGGGAGAAACTCCTTGTCCTACTGCTGATCTTCCTTCTATTAGAGTCACCCGTTCTGGTTTCCTGAGTGCCTTCATCAGCAAAAATTTACTCTTGCGTCCTGTGCGTCCTGTACGTCAGATGCACAGGACACACAGGACGCAAACTGTTAATCCGGATGTCGGCTAAATCCGTTCTTGCGTCCTGACGTTCAGATCTGCACCCTCCTGCATCCTGACGCTCACCGGACGCACGGCACTCCAACCCCCCTGCCTTGTGACCCTTGCTAGCTCGGTTGCGGGCGTTCTGGCAATCCATGCCCTTTCCCCCCTAGCGTTCCGACGCCCCTACTACTCCTGCCTGGCGTCCTCACGCCCTTCCTACTCCCGGCCGCCGTCCAGACACCTCTGGACCTCCTGCCTGCCGTCCAGACGCCCCTGCAAGTCCCGCCTGGCGTTTCTGCCATCCAGGCACGCCTGCTTTGCGTCCTGAGAATCTCGGCCGCTTCTGCCTCTCGCCGTGACGCTCATCAACCCTCCCCCCGCGTTCCAATCCTGTCCGTGTAAAGCCAGTCCTGTGTGGATGACTTAATCTATATCGCTTGCCTCCCACCGCATGTCGCGTCTGCTATCCTCCTCCTAAGTTCCTGTCCCTGCTCCTGTGTCTCATGACTTCGAAGAACTACTCCCGTATGCCCTGAGTCCTACATTACCCACCTCTTCCATCCAGATTTCAGACTTTCAATTGACGGCCTGGGGATTTTCTGGCCGTGATGGGAACGTACTCCATATGTTCTGGGACTTTTGGTAACCATATCTGATTACAATTTGGTTTCAATATGTGCTGCAAATACTATATTTACTATCATACGGCGTCACATTGGCCTGTCATTTTAATCTATTGAGTACACTAGGCGCTATTGAAGCTTGCGATCCCACTGGCACAGCCAGTACCCATATGCCTCCCGTCGAGCCCACTCTCGATCCTGGTCCCACAGACCTGTTGCCTCCTCTCTCTCAATCAAAATTCCCTTCCTGCTGTCCATCTATAGCCGTCACCTGCCCCGACTGTGAATCATCCAGACTAAGCAAGACATGAGATGAAATACATGGACTGCCTACACTCCCCGACGTCAGACGTCCCGTGTATTCTTGTGTATCGTCTAGACTATCCTGTTCAAAATCATGAAAGCCAAGAGACCGTCCAATGGCTGTCTGGCTAAAATCGGAAGCAACATTGGGATGGGGCGACTGTTCCCACCTGCCCTGGCGCCCCAAATAGGCCACTAGAGGGTAGTCAGTCATCGTCTGTCTACCCCGTGAGGATTGGCTTGGAGCCTGGTTGGATTTCCTGCGCTCGAGCTCCATGCTTACAGCGTCAACGTCATCATCGTACCCTTCTACTCGATCATTATGAATCCCGTATTGTTGCTGGCGCTTTTCGGTGATAATTTGGTGGATGTTTTGGACCAACAGCTCCTGGATCTGTGCGGGAAATCTCTGCCATGTTTGCCTCAGGCATGCCAGGAGGTCTTAAGTCGGTGACGGGTTAGCCAGACTTCATGACTATGGTCCAGTAGAATATTCTGAGATTCTTACCCATAACAATATCAGGCTTGAATTCCTTCGGCTCTTCGTACTTACCTGTTTGGCACCCCCGGAGAGTGTGGCATAGTATAGCGCAAGTCAGGCACATCATAGTTCCGTTGATCCTAGATAGGAACTCAGGATCTATCCTGCCTTGCATTTTCTTTCCGGTAAAGTACTTGTCATATATGGCCTCTGGGATCTGGGGTGCAAGGAATTGCAGGATTAGACACTGTCCAAATTGATACATAGTTAGTCCTATTACCCAATAGCCATTGCTAGTCGTCGTGGTAACAAACCTCATACCCTTTCGGGTCGCACATGAACCGGTCTCCTTCCAGAAGATAATCAATTCTACGTGCGATGGCTGCTGCACCTTGTGGTAGTGGCAGTTCATATAACTTTACTATATGATACTTCACATGATAAATGAATTGCGACCGTACGTCTGAGTGCTTTTGGCGTATCTATCAAGGTTATTATAATTTGCCATGTGTCCAGACGTCTGGCTGGGATCACGTACTATTGTTATGCTATCCTCAGACTGTTTAATACGTCCGCAACCCTCACTCATATTCAACGCATCCTCCCAAACGCTGTACGCTTTGGCCGTCAGAACAACTACCTTAGGTACTCGGTCATCAAAAAGAGTGTATTGGAGAATCAGATCCCTGGCCAGCCGTAATATAGAACTTTCAGGTCCTGGAACATCATTCTTCCAGCTGCTACTTCCGTGCCAGTTAAAGTCCCGTCGGACTACATCTAGATGATCTGCCAGGCTAGAGCTTCTGATATCCGAGGACAGCATACACGAGCGACCTGGTAGAGACGAATTCCTTGCTGAGATTGACGATGGAACACCAGGAGTGGAGGCTCTACCGCGAATGATCCTGGCAGGGACAGCGGGCATAGGCAGAGAAGGGCCGGATCGCTGTGATCCGGCAGTAGTTGAAATCCGAACTGTTTTCTCTCAGTTGGTATCCTCTCTGTTCGCTGTCTGTAACCCATGCCGGGGTGGTGTTGCTCCCCCATCAGTGAGATCAATGTCTTCCGCATCAGCGTCGGTTTCTGTTTCTGATTCTGAGGAGCCCGGGGAGATTTGGTACTCAACGCTGCTATCCTCCTATATATCTACAGCTTCCACATACACTTGGTCTTCGGTGTGAG